TTTTTTGTTTTTTCTCCACTGTATTCATTTGGATTCCGGGACGACCGGAGATCGTTGGAAAATGCTCTCACATTCAGAGCATACTAGCTATAGGAACAGGTCATTATCTTTGCTCTACTAGCAGCCATCTGTCATGATCTCAGACAAGATTTGCCTCAGATTGTTTTCTTCAGCCTCGGAATCCACTATGGATGAGGTACTCAGGTTCTGGATATACATGTCGGAGGAATCTGTAGAAATTGAGGAATCAAGGAGATATAGGAAATAACAGGATAGGTCACAAGATAGATGCGTCAGGTAAACGGTGTTGAGAAGCTGCTCGAGGGGATAATTTCAATTAGACGGGAAGAAGACAGTGCCATTGAGGTGGGAAGGATCGCGGAGCAATACGGTGAATACTAGATACCGAGAGAATAGGAGGTAAGGAAAGGGTGGAGAAGCACTTTTTTCGGGAGGGAAGACGGAGCGGCAGGACAAGGCGGGACTAAAGGAAACAAGTCGGAAGAGATTTCAAGAACATTGCCTTGTCGGCCTTTCGAACTTTGAATCCTTTGAGACAAGGCGATCACCAAGGTCGTAAAGGGTTGGTATCAAACAGGCATGTGCAGTCCGTCCTAGCGAACCCTTGCTTCTTGTAAACCAAGAAAGCTGCACGATACGAGAAACACGAAAAATGTAAAAAAAAACAACAGTAAGAAGCAATGTTATTAAGGAGAATGGGCGAACACAAAACGTGGCTGGGAAACTCCCAAGAGAGGCTAGGAGCATCTTCAGGATGGTAGGATGGAGTTTCTCGGACTAAGCCAATTGGTGTAAGGCATTTATTCCTGAGGGAGCTGGCTGCGGCGGGTCTTCTCGGCTTCCAGGTTTTCGTACAGAAGATACAAGGCTTTCTCATTCGCCTGAGCACTGCCCATGATGGTGAACATGCGTTCGCCGGTATCATCGTGAGGAGCCTTGGCGATCGAGATCCTCGCTCCAGAGCTCCTACGGATCTCAGTGATCTTGCTTCCACCTCTACCGATGATGCATCCCACCATGTCAGCAGGAATGCTGATGTTTTGCGTCTGGATTTCCTCGCCGTCCTCGGTGACCAGGGGATAGCCACGGTTTGATGTGTCGGGATTGGAGCGTCTGCCGTAGCCACCGGACTGGTCGCTAAAGTCGGCACCATTGCCGGTACGGTTGTAGGGACGGCTGCTATAGCCGTTGCCCACGTTTTGGTTGACTGGGGTGGTGCCAACAGATGCACGCACAGCGGGGTTGTACAGGATGGTACCGGTGCCCCGCTGCCAGTCATCAATAAGGCATTTTCCAATTTCCCAGACAGCCTTCTCGATGCCTTCCGGAGTACCCTGCACTTCAACAATTCGCTCGGTAGACTGGGGAAGCATTTCCTTCTGGGCGACCATTCGTACACCGGAAGCATCCTGGATGTGCTTGATTTTCAGGCCGGACCGTCCGATGATAGTGCCCATTTGGTTGTGGGAAATGAGGAGGCGAACCGCTGCGATATGTTAGTTGGTCTTTCCCATGATACTTGACGGGGTCAGATACACATACGATGAGTTCCATTGTTTGATACGATGCCACCCATACCCATTTGCGGGGCACCTTCTAGCAAGCCCTTGGCGACCAAAGCGTAGGCCCTAGCGGTACCTTGTAGAGGACCGGTCACCGTCAGGACTCGATCGTGAACACCCGGAACAACCTTGCTCACGCCGGCCTTAACACCGGTTTCATCGCGCAGGTCAGCAACATTTTTACCGGCCTTGCCAATGATCACGCCGGCTTCCTTGGACGAAACGATCGCACGGAGGGTCAGCATCGACTGGGCGTATTCTTCTTCGGTCTTCGGAGTAATGTCCATGTCACCCTCGTCGACCATGTTGACCGCATCAGTCATAGTCTCGTCAACAACTTGGGTATCGTGAAGCTCGGCGGAGTCCATTATGTCGAAGGAGCGAAGAGATCAATTAGACGAAGAAAGATTCGATGATTAGGGGATCAGGATATCTTTAGCAAAGTTTCTTTTCGCCAGTTAGCTGACAAACCTTAATGAGTGAGAGGAGAAGTCGCGCGATCAACATCCATGCTTTTAGTGTTTGGGTTGAATGAAAGAGTGAAAGGGTGGGTTGTGAAAGAGACATGTACGTAATATGTTGACGGCGCGATGAGATAGACAAGCACAGATGTACCGGCTACTTACCCAAGGATGAGAGAGGTGGCGCACGAGGAGAATGGAGGTTGCGTGGAAATAGAGTATTGATGGTCAAAGGAACCGAGAAGGAGGGGGGATAAAGATCAGTCAGTGGACGGAGAGGGGGCGAATGAACCACTGTGATTTCAGAGGGGTTTCGGCGGGCGGGGGAAGAAGACGTGGAGGAATCACGGACAAGAGACGATGGTAGGCGGAGGGGAAAGGAAACGGAAGAAAGAAGAGGAGGAGGAGAAAAAGAAGAGGGAGGGGGTGAAAGAAGGGAGACGTAGCGGAAGAGAAGGTGAAGGTTGAAGAGGAGAGTGAAGATCGGGGGCAGAAGGGGAAGAAGAAAGATGAGTAAAGGCAGAAGAAGAGGGAACGGAAAAAAGAGAAGCGTGAGAGAAAGAGACAAGCGGAAGCAATGAGAAGTTTGGGCTTAGTTTACTTTTCTGGTTAGTACCACAACCACTTTTCATAAATTCTCCCACTTACTCTGGACTGAATGAATGCACTTATTCTTCTGTCTTTTGCTGAATCTTTCTCTTTGGTATTTTTCTTTTTTTGGTTGAAATTCAATTTGTTACGTATCGGCCACCCGTTTTTGTCGGGTGGATAAATCGACTCGTTCCTCTTCCTCCATTTACGTTCATTCATTGCTAAACAACTTGATTCCATTTCGAACAGATCAACAAACCATACCATCAAGAATGTATGGCTAAGGATGGATTGATGTCTATGGAACCTTCCTACACCAACTAAACTCATCTCACGCCTAACCCTAACAGCATGTAGACCGTCCCACTATGTACATCACAGCCTATCTATACATGAAATCAACGCATTCATCTTCAAAACATCAATCAAGGCTCTCGACCATTTCTTCCTCCATTGGGTCCGCACTTATTCTCCAGCTTTGAAAATCACCTTCTGCACTTTCATTGCATTGAAAAGCTCATATCCTTCTACAGCTTCAGACAGCGGCATGATCTTGTCCGCCATGAATCTAATTCCACTCATTTCGTTAGATATGTAAACCGTCACCAACAACGAGTGACAAAACGCAAAGAAAAAGAAAAGGAAAAAGAAAGACCCACCCTAACTTATGCTGATTCTTTTTCAAGACCTCCAACGCTTGAGGAAACACCGACCTCACAGGGCATCGACCCATTTGGATTCTCAGGTTTTTGTCATATGCATCGTTTCCTGCCCATGGATCTACGAAAGAATCAGCATAGTACGATACCATAAAATAGGGCTGTATTGCCGGGGTGTCTTTACTTCTCCATTGTGGACTCCAACGCTACTAATCGTCCCCCAGGGACGCAGCAGATCAAAGCCAGTCCTCAGTGCCGGGCTCAACCCAACCACTTCAATCACAGCGTCTGCACCCCTTCCATTCGTCAGTTCTTTCACCCGCTTGTCCAATCCTTCCCGGTCTTGCTGGAAGTTCCAAGGCTCAGCCCCAAGGGATCTTGCCAGCTCAAGTCTCGACGGAATAGAGTCCACAGCCAGGAGATGCTTGGGCTTGAACTCCAGCGCATTGATCAGTGCGCAGAGCCCAACCGGTCCGCAGCCGATTAGTACGACTGTCTGCTCGGAGATTTGCTCCGGGGTGTACCCCTTGAAGGCATTGCTGGCCGCAAAGTAGCCCGTCGGGAATATGTCTGCCATGAGCACGAGGTATTTTTCCTCGACGCCTTCGGGGGTTTTCATCACCGTTCCGTCTGCATTTGGGATGCGGACCTAATAGGGACCGTCACCATCAGATGCCCCGTAGATTGTAAGCCTATGACGAAGTCACTTACGTATTCGGCCTGTGCTCCATCCAGATGATCACACCCGAAAAGCACGCTCTTTTCACAGCGAGAGGAAAACCCTTGCTTGCAGTAGAAACATTCGCCACTATGAGAATAGTCAGCGTCCACCCAAGAGACACTTCCGACAGCTAGAGCACTAGCATTCAATACCTCACTCCCCTGAAAAGCATGTAGCCAGTACTTACCAAGAAGTCGTAAAAGCACTCACGACCATATCGCCCTTCTGAATGGATTTGACGCCACTCCCGACCTCAACAGCCTCACCCGTAACTTCATGGCCCATAACAAATCCCGTACCGGCGGGTTCGATACCACGAAATGTGTGGAGATCACTGCAATGGTTAGCGACCGTTTGTCTAAAGCGTAACACGGGGAAATCGGGATGTCATCGTTGCCCTACCTTCCACAAAGCGCAGTGTATGTTACTTTAACGACAATATCCCCCGCATCTTGGATCTTGGGGATTGGTCGTTCTTCAACGGCCACTTTATAAGGGCTGTGAAACACTACCGCGCGCATCTTGTTTTCCGTGGTCATCTTGTAAACTGATCAAGGTTATGGAAGAAGGTGTATACAAGGAACTTTCTTCGTCGCAGAGTCGGGTCATTGAATCGAAAGTACGTGAAATGTGCCGATTTGGAGAAACCACGACCCCCACATCCGATAAACGGCCGCTGCATTTTCTTTGCCCCTCGGTTTATGATAACTGTGGGGCTGTCACCCCCAACACTCCCATGAACAAAATTTCAAGCATCTGAAAACTATTGGTCCGGGCCAAAAAAGAGGCACTACATGTCTAATAGCTAAGAGAGACATGAGACCCTTCTGTAAGGGGGAAAGCTGAGTTATTCTGTTACATCTCATTCTAGCCTCATGACCCAGGAGAATAAAATGACGATTGTAGATTTCACAGGCTCTTGAATTGAAGCACAAAGGGTACAGAATGTCGAGTATGGATTCAAGCCGAATGACCTCGAATACGCCAAAACTGATGTGCTGTGAAACCCGGTTCTCAAAGTCGGCCAAAGCAAAACATAGTGCACCATTCAACGCCTTTGCCTTACGCCACGATTGGAAATGCTCACTGTATCAATCAGTCTTTGTAAGTGTCGCTGCAAGTCCTTCACTGGAAGCCTCACAGTAACTGAACCCGCCATGTTACCGTACGCCTTTAGAAAGGACGCCTGCCCGCGTTCAGGAAGATGAGGCGCCTTAGCACACCACGCACAAAAGTTCTTCTTCCAGGATGAATTTGCCCTCCTTGTACTTCTCGCTGGTCTCATACGCCTTGTCATACTTCCACCCTACCGTTTCCCTGCATTGTCTGCAAGCGATGTCTCGAACGACATGCCTCCCAGTGGTCATGCTACGCTCCACCGCTTCGGATTGTGTGATGTTGACGACGTTGTTGAATAGATATGCTTTGCCATGCTGGCCACGGAAGTTCTGCGGGAAGGTCTTTCAGTCAGTACATGTCTTTTGTGTTGACGGATATGGAGGATGGGCACCCACTCTGCTGATGATATCGTCATAATCCGCAAGGTGCGTCTTGCACTGCCTGCATCCAAAGATCTTATTGGAAGTGAGGTAGACGTTATACGCGAGACCCATTATGATCTGCTCTAGCTCCTCTTTCCCACTTCCGGCAGCGAGGTATCCGTCCTGGAATGTGAGTGTGACAAGACAAAGGTGGGAGATCGTATTTGGTCTATTATGAAGATAAGATGTGGCAGAAGGGAGTAGAACAAGATCAATGAATGATGTCTTCTTCTTGAGGTCCCCGCCTTGCCTGGGATTGATTTTCCTTTGCAAGGGGAACCCGACCTGGTCGTAACTTCAACGACGGTTCGATTTGAGGAAAGACTCAAGTTTGGAAGTTCGAAACAGTGTCGGGAACCGATAGATCAACCAGATGTGCCGGACCCTTCTGTCCCTCTAAGTTTAGTGGTAGTTGAGATAAGCTCGATAGGAAAGTACGCAAGAAGTCTTCAAGGTAGCAGCGGGATCGAGAAGAAGTGGGGAACTTGTAACCCACGGCAAGACGTAAGATTGAATGATGACGCCAGCTCACAGCAGTGAATCTAAATTTACCATCAGACGATGAATGACGAGACACCAAGGTAGGAAGGGAAGATAAGGAGCGGTCGGGTGATAGTTAAAGGGGAGGCAAGAGACCAACAAGTTGGAATGTATCACCAGTCAGGTAGACAATGAAATCGGTGGTTGTCCGGAGCCGTAGGCTGACTATCGGGCAGCTGCCTCAGGTCCCCCCAGTGTAATATTACGGGGATAAACCGATTAAAGGTATGGGGACGGAGGAGATGTCGGAGCAAAACCACAACCCCGCATCAGGCCAATCGAAATGCGTAAAAATCCATGAAACTCCCAGGTGAAACCCAGCCGAAGATTTTAATTAGCTAGATATCAACTGGCCAGTGTCTGGGCTTGGGTAATGTGAGTTGTCCAAATGACTTGTTGTGTCTTATCATTTGTTATCGGAGGACCCGCAGACTGCGTTAACCTTAGTAGGTCCTAGGTAGTACTAGTATCTACCTCGTAGGTACTCATGATACCATGTATTGGTTTAACCGCAACGGGTCTAGTTTACGGCGCAATTACAATCATCGTCATCATTCATCACGGATCGAAGCTGCAGGCACTTGATCCTGCGTGAATATCACTGATGCTCTGGGCTATGGCTATTGGCTGAGTCAATATTAGTGCTAAGCGTAAGCAGGTGTACCTGGCAGCTCTCAGATCTTCTGGCAATATTCTGTTGCCAGGGTTGTAAGTAATTCACTGTACTGGGGCGGGGCGTAGAGCAGGTCAGGCCCTTCTAGCTTTATAATCCGATAGCTTAAAACTCGTAGATATAGCCAAGGATCAGTTTGTTGCAGAGGAGGCTCATCTTTGACCGAGTAAGGCAACGTTGGTCTCCCAGAATTGTCTACACTCAGTATGACCCCAATGATCGGTCCACCACTCTCCGAAGCTATCCTCTACCTGGTCATCAACCTTGGGTAGTCGTTCCTCTCTTTTTAGCCCGCAAAGGGCACAAGCATGGGAAGCTTTCAAGGCTCCCTGTTCAGGAGTGGCAGTCATCGCTCGGATGTTGGGAGGAATGACATGAATTGGACGTCTGCCAGATGCCTGGATCACAGAATTAAACAGGGCGGTCCGGTCCCGCCACATAGATATCACGTCAACAGCTTCTTGTTGTTCCTTGATGTCCTCATTTTTATTGACTGTATTAAGTTTCATTCCTCCTGGCTTCCCTGCGCGTGCTGGGCCGATCCTCATGCTCTGACTCAGGATGCTATCCCTTTTCCATCGCAATGTGCGGCCCGCAACAACCCGAGCTGCTGCTTTCAGAGTGCAAAGAATCAGCAGGGCAACATTCTCAATATTTTGCCTTTCTTGGACGTTTTTTCTAACTTCAGTAGCCTCCTTTCGGAGTTGATCAAAAAGTCGAGGAAATAACTCCAACAGAACAGATGGTGGAGGTATATTCGTTGGGCGGATCTGAGCAGGAGAGACAGCGCTACTTGATATGTTGAACGTTGGAGAGATCTGTTTCTCTAGGTTGGTGGCGGCCTTTGCTTTCTGGATTGGTACCTTTGCAGAAGCAAGTCTTTGGCTCCCAACACTCTTGGAGGGTTCCGTAGGTGGGCCGTCTACAAAGTCACCCCAGTCACCAAAAGCATCTTCATCATCAGGCATGCCGGAAGCTGTAGATGTAACATTGCTGTTTTTATTAACAAGTGTGCTGGAGGCTTGAGAATGCCTTTGCGGTGATTTATCTTCTATTGATAACGAGCCTAGCAAATCAAGATGATTGGGCGAGACTGCAAGGTTTTTCAGCTCATTTGGACCCTTCGTTGACTGACGTGAAGCATTTCCCTCAGTGTGACTAATAATTTCTGGTGCGGCTTGACAAGACGGAGTATCCGCAGATTCGAACTCCCCCCAGTCTTCACTACTGTCGTCGGGAGGGTCTTCCAAGGTGGCATCAAATAGAACATTACTGTCCTTGCCATAGCGCATCGAATGTGATGCATTAGACTTTCCCAATGCATTTCGATGGGTCGCTAATGCCCGTGGCTGAATAGTGTGTGACGTAGATACTGTGGGAGCATTGTCGAAGGTTTCTAGTTCGGGGATTAGAGAAGATGTTGCATCGGCAGGTCGAGCCCCCTTCTGGGCTGCAGTCCCTGAGGACTGATTAGCTGGGGCCCCGAATCCAAATTCCGCGAATAAGTCCGCCGACATTGACGTTGGGAGTGGAACGATTCCTTTCGCGAAGGTACTGCGCTTAAGCTAGCTGCTGAATATCGTGACGGTTATGAGAAGGGTGTTCGGTGGTTCGGGGATGCCAAGACATGTACCCAATCTTCCCATCTTTCCCGCCATTGATTCAACCCCACGATTCAATGACGCCTACTGTCAGATCAACACATGGGGAAATGAGGGATATAGAGGAAATAAGGTAAAACGGCATGCTACCGGTAACTACGTTTTATTAGTCTTTCTGACAAAGTTGTTCTTTTCTCAGACAGCGATGGAATGTCCTCTTCCGCGACAATAACACCACCTCCGACCTCCGAGCAGCGCTTAGAGCAGAGCAAGGAGAGAAGCTGTGCAACGACGGACTAAGATCAATCTGTTGGAAGGTGCGCGATTTTTACCACTAGGATATGACTCTCAAATGTGCTTATCTGGATGCAGGCATTCCTGCACTTCGACAACCTCGATCGCACACAATGGCCGCAAAAGATATCCGATTCCCGAAACGCCTATGGAGCGCTGAAAGCTCATTTCATGAAATATATCGAGCATCCCGATGATCTGCAATCAACTGTGGATCCACTGGCGGATGATGCAGAGGTATGCCACCTTGAGCTGATTGGTTTAGAGTATTAGGACTTGTATCTCTGACGAGCGCACGTATAGTCTCCTTGGCAAACACTACGACAGGACGAGCAGATGAGAGCAGATATATCCCAAGATGTGGATCGATGCTTGCAGGAAAATTTCTTCTTCCGGGAACCAGCGACCAAGGCGAAAATGACCGATATTCTCTTTATATATGCGAAACTCAACCCCGACCTAGGTTATCGCCAAGGAATGCATGAGCTGTTGGCGCCCATCTTGTGGGTTATAGACAGAGATGCAATTGAAGAAGCCTCCCGGGAGGGGGTCGACCATACAGAAGAGGATGATAGCTCAATGTTACAGCTCCTTGATGCCAACTATGTCGAGCATGACTCTTTTACACTTTTCTGTTCGGTTATGCAAACTGCCCGAGTATACTATGAGCACAATAGACAGCGATCTGCGAGCGGGCAGATGGACGTTGTACCAATTGTCAACCAATGCGAACATATCCATAATGATCTATTAACGACCACGGACTTAGAGTTAGCAGATCATCTTCAGGCACTGGAAATTCTGCCCCAAATATTCCTTACGTGGGTAAAGCTCCATTTGTCAGTGAACCTCGATGCTAACTGGTTCGAGAAGGCGTTGGATGCGTCTCTTATTTGGTCGCGAGTTTCAATTCCAAGACGTTCTTATCCTCTGGGATTTTCTCTTTTCTGAGGGTCTACGGCAAGAGTTAGTCGAGTTTGTGTGCATTGCAATGCTGCTCAGGATTCGCTGGCAATGTTCGTTACCTGAATATCGTCTTCTATAGTTTCTTTTCGCTGACTTTACTTAGTACTGGACGCTGATTGCTCGACTGCGTTGACCATGTTGCTTCGCTATCCCTCTCCCCACCCCCACGAGCCATACAGCTTTGTACTAGATGGCTTATATCTAGAACAGAACCCAACCTCCGACAGAGGAACTTTTATAATCTCGAAGTATTCCGGCAAGCCGCCTGATTCATTGAAACGTGCCAGTCAACCAGGCACGAGGCGTGTTTCCGGGAGGAAATTTCATCCACGCGGCGATGCAAGGAACATGAGCGAGACTAGCTCCCCTTCCAGATCACCTGCAAGGAACAGTCCGAAGAGCCTTGAGGCGCTTTTCCAAGATGTGTCGGAAGGCATTCAGCGACGGACGGAATCTTGGGGAGTAGCCAAGGCTGTCCGAGGCGCGGTAAGTGAGGCGAAAAGGAACATGCAGACGATCCAATCGGAACACAATCCTCGAATGATGAGACACGGAGATTCGCCCTTGAGCCGTACTTCCGATGCACGGTCGATTCAAGAATCCGATGCCGTCGCTCAGTTGAAAACGAAGGTCCAAGAGTTGGAAGAACGCAATAGGATGCTGGCGAGGTCATTGAGCCAGGCGCTAAATGATATTCGCTCTCGCCTGATGAAAGCAGAAGGGCTTGACTATGCTACAGCAGACGCCATGAAACAGGGTCTCGCCAAGGTTCAATCAGTCCAGACATGCCTCGAGAGCCCTTCTGCGTCTCTCCGCTCCGCAAATCGATCTCCAAGCATTGCTGGCGATACGGTTTCCGCGAGGCTACCTAATCAGTCAGATGTGGGAGGTGACAAAGCCGAACGCTCTGCATCGGTTACCAGCAGAGTCGGAGAGTCTGGGACATCGTCCAGCTCTTCGGTGGAAGGTGAACCAAAAGCCCATGACCGAGCTCGAATCCCCACCTCACTACCACTACGACCGGCAACACGCCCATCATTGGCTGAATCTGAATTTTCTTGGATGC